ACCAACAAATCTTGGCTCCGCCCCGGAGGATAAGAGTTTGAAATAAAAAAAAAAATAATAAAGAGATTTGAGTAGAGATTTGGTGGTTTGAGGCCCCCATGGCCCCATGCGTCTCACCAATTTTTTCTTCTCTTTTTCTCTTTTTTTGCTTTCTGCTCATGTGAACTGGCCTGTTGACTTTTTCCAATTTTGCAATTTCACTTTTTTTTCTGAAGCACAAATTTTTATTTTTTTTTTTGAACATTAGTTGAGATGTAGACATTTTGGTATTTTTAAAAAATTTCTAAAGTTGCATTACTCCCCGTGCGGACATTGATCTAATTAGACCTGGCAATTATCGACACGACCCGTTAACACAATACGAAATCGGACACGAAAATAACGGGTTAGTGTTTAGCCTTAACATGTCCCAGGTCGTTAACGGGTTGACCTGTTAAGGACCCGTTATGTTTCGTGTCTTAACAGGTCAACCTGTTAAACCTATTAAGAACCCGTTTAACCCGTTAATATTATCGTGTTAACCCGTAAACACGAACCCGTTTACACAAACCTGTTCAGAACCCGTTAAGAACCATTGTCATGAATGAGATTAAAAAAGATATCATGAACATGAGTACATGACCAAGGATGAATTTACTAATACAGCAATTATTGATGTTCAACAATATGAAGTTTGAGTTTTTATTGTGTTCCATTTTATTCTAAAACTAGCATGGACTTCTTTAATTATGATTTTTGGATGTTATTTTATTATTTTATGAATGTTATAAATTGAATATTTTTTTTAGTTTGTAGTTTGATGGATTGAATTGTAGGTTTTATTTCTTTTATATATAACTTAACTTTAAATTTTAGTTTTTTTTAATATATTAATAGGTTTAGTGAGTTTAAACGTGTTTCGTGTCATATCGTGTCGACACGACTCAAAATCTATTAACAAAACGTATCTATCGTGTCAACCCGTTTAACCCGCTAACAAATCGTGTTCGTGTACGTGTTACAAATTTGAACTCGTTAACCTTATCGTGTCGTGTTCGTGTTTAGCCTTATCGTGTTCGTGTCATTATCGTGTCGACCCGTTAACGACCCATATACACGAATTGCCAGGTCTAGATCTAATTGATAAAAAGTCTTATTTAAGGCATGAGCTCATTGTGTATAGAAGTGTATAATTTAGTGTGGAGTCAAAAATTATGAAACAAGTGTTGTAATTAGGTCATTGAGTTGAAAGAAGTTTTAAATAAGGGAAGAATGCATTTTTAGCCCTCAATTATTATTTGCTAGCCGTTTTAATCCCTTTTACCATTGTAATATACTTTCATAATTCTTCAAAAAGTTATAGTTTTAACTAATGAAACAACAAAATTATTAAATTCTATTAAAATTTTACTTAGTACAGGTGTATTTTAGTAATACTTTTAAATATTTTTTTAAAAATTATAATCTTCTTTAGTCTCGATTTTTTATTTGTAAAAAAAAAAAATTAAAATTAACAGGTTTGTGTAGGAAAAATATGACCGATGTACCACAATTAAAGATGAAAATTTTAGGAAAGAAGAGTGTCAAGTATCTATTTTGAAGATGAAGAATAAAGATAATAAAATTTTAAAATACAAATATATGAAGTAAAATTTTAATAGAGTTTAATAATTTTGTTCATTTATAGGAGTTAAAACTATATAACTTTTTTTGAAGAGTTATGAGTATATCGCAACAATAAAAAAGTTAGAGACTTATTAAAACAACTAGTAATGAACAATTGGATGACTAAATTTTTTTTTCTTCCTTTACATAAACATTTAAATTTAGAGAAAAGTTTTTTTTTTTTTCAGTTCAAAAATTTAATTATAAAAGTTCAAGTTTGACTTCTATGTAAGTTGTTTATTGACATTTTTTATTTGAATTAGTCACTTATGAACAATATAAATTGATTTACTTCGTACTTTACCAACTAAGGTCACAAGGCAGGTTTCTACTAGACCGCATTTTCAAGTAGCAACAACATGCGTTCTCGTAAATCAAAATAAATATTAAATAATAATTTTAATAAGGAATGTAACCTTGTAACATGATATAGCTGTCAATTACACGTCTACCAAAATTAATGAAAATCCTACTTTCTTTCTTTTAACCTAAGACTTTTAATAATTAAGTTGGAAGATAACCCTGCTATCTCATTTAATTTACATTCTATGAGTTAATAAAGGGGTGTTTGGTACACTATAATTACAATTCATTTACAATTCAATTCTTTGACTTACCAAATTATATTGTTTGATTGGTGAAATTGCAATTCCACGGCAAGTCCCTCTTTTTGTTTAATTGGACTCCATACTTCCTTCTGATGAATTCTAATTCTTCTTATGAATTCTAATTCAGCCTAACATCTATACTATATATACAAACAAAATCCTGAAATTTTAACTTCCCGTCCAATTCTTAAAAAATCTCTCTTCCTAATAAAATGTATTGATTTTTACTTTCCCATTCGTACAATAATTCTGGGTTAAAATTCTATTTTAATATTATAAAATAGTGTAATACAATTTAATCTATATCTATACTTCTATACTATACTATATATAAAAACAAAATCTTGAAATTTTAACTTCCCGCCCAATTCCTAAAAAATCTCTTCTCCTAATAAAATATATTGATTTCTACTTTCCATTCGTACAATAATTCTGGGTTAAAATTCTATTCTAATATTATAAAATAGTGTAATACAATTTAATCTATATCTATATATCTATACTATATATAAAAACAAAATCCTGAAATTTTAACTTCCCGCCCAATTCCTAAAAAATCTCTCTTCCTAATAAAATATATTGATTTCTACTTTCCCATTCGTACAATAATTTCCGGTTAAAATTCTATTCTAATATTATAAAATAGTGTAATACAATTTAATCTATATCTATACTATACTATATATAAAAACAAAATCCTAAATTTTAACTTCTCGCCCAATTCCTAAAAAAATCTCTCCTCCTAATAAAATATATTGATTTCTACTTTCCCATTCGTACAATAATTCTGGGTTAAAATTCTATTCTAATATTATAAAATAGTGTAATACAATTTAATCTATATCTATCTATACAATATATAAAAACAAAATCCTGAAATTTTAACTTCCCGCCCAATTCCTAAAAAATCTCTCTTCCTAATAAAAATATATTGATTTCTACAATAATTCTGGGTTAAAATTCTATTCTAATATTATAAAATTGTGTAATACTATTTCTATTCTAATCTATATCTATACTATATATCAGTGTTGCAAAAATCGCGCCGCTGGCCGCGGCGAGGAAAGCCGGAATCGGCCTCCTCCGCGAGTGCCTTGCTGGCTGAACCGGCGATTAATTTTTATTTTTTTTAAGTTGTAAAGTGTCAAAAGTTTGGCAAGGCATAACTTTTGACTCGGTTGTCCGTTTTAGATAAATATTTTTTTGAAATCGCGTATTTTTTCGAGATCTATCCACCGCAAACTGTCATAGGCGGTTTGGCCTACCAATTTCTTAAAAAAAAATACTTTATTAAATAGTTTCTAAGAAAAAACTCTGAGAACCTTATGTTTTATTAATGAATTTTAAAAAATTTTAATTAAAAAATTGTCCCATGCATTATTTAATAATCTCTCTTTATAATTGGTCAAATTATTTAATTATGGTAAATTAGGGAATAATTAATGATGGTAATAGAAATCCTAGAAGAATATAGAATTGAAGAATATTTAATTATTATTATATTATTATTGTGACTCACGGAATACAATACAAGAATATTTAATTATGGTTAATATTATTATTATGCCTCACGACCATTATATACTAACAGAACTTGAAAAGAAACTAATAATAATATAATAGTAATAATATAAGTGGTAATAATAATATCTAAAAGTAATTAAGTGTTAATAATAATGAGTTTTTTCCCAATTTGGTCCCTTGACTATGGCTCATTCTCAATTTTGTATTTCGACTTTTAATTGCACCCAATGTGGTCCCTTGACTTTTAAAAATTACCCCAATTTAGTATTCCGTTACCTTTTCCATTAATTAGGCGTTAAGTTGGGCGTATTTTGGTCCATTCATCTGTTGCACGTTGTCGGTCATCTCTTTCTTTGCTTTCTTCTCCACAGAGAAGTTCTTCTGCAAACAAACACCAAAAACCCTAAATTTCTTTGCTTTCTTCTTCCTCTATTGCTTACAATGTCAACAACAAACGCCAAAGCTACGAGTTCTTCGCCTCGGCCAGAATCATTTCTATAGAAATCGATTTCCTGTCGGCGTCACCAACTGCTCGGTTTTGGAAGAGCTAAACATGACGGGTACATATGTGACCGGAGCTTTCTTGGACTTAACGCCTTTGCAGGATTTAAGGTCGCTTGATTTATCCTTCAACTTCTTCACCGGTGAGTTCCCTTTGTCGGTCACTAACCTCAGCAATATGGAAGTTCTCAACTTTAATGAGAATGGCGGTTTTACCCCGTGGTGGCTACCGATGAACATCTCTGCAGGGCTGAGAAAGCTCAAGTGTCTGGTGTTAACGGCGTATAAACTCTCCGGGAGAATCCCGGTGGAAATTGGGAGCATGGCCTCACTGGTACGGTGGACCTTGAACTGAGCAAAAATGGCATGGTGGGAAGGATCCCGTGGGAGCTAGGGATGTTACTCAACATGCAACTTCTTGAGCTTTATTACAACCAACTCGACGAAGAAATCCCAGAGGAGCTTGGGAACTTGAGTAACTTGGTGGACTTGGATTTGTCTAGGAACAGATTAATCGGCAAAATCCTGGACTCCATTTGTCGAGAAGGGAGAAGCAGTTCAAGAAAATGGAGGAAGGAAACTGGAGAAAATTGATTGATGTGTGCAGAACTCAAACTTTCATCTATATCTCTCTGTACAATCTGAATTCTATGTTATCAAAACTAAGAAGCGGGAAAGGGAAAGGTTTTAAACTATTACAACTGAAGCTAACTGCTAACTGAATTAACAGAGTTGGTTATGGAGGTTGAGTGATGTGGACAGATTCAGCTTGTTGACATCTCTTGACACCCCCCCCCCCCCCCCTCCCCCCCGGCAAGCTGGAGTGTACAGGCAATGTAGACCCAGCTTGGAGATGAACTTAGAGAAGATAGCAGAAGCAAGGGGTTTTGTGAATGCATCAGCAAGCTGGCTTTCAGTGGTGACATGCATCAGTTTCAGTACTTGCCTTTGTAGTTTTTCCCTCACAAGGTGGCAGTCTATTTCGATGTGCTTCGTCCTCTCATGGAATACTGGATTCTCTGCTATAGCAATTGCGGATTTGCTGTCACAATACAACATAGCTGGTGAATTAAGTTGTACTCCCAAGTCTTGCAGCAAGTAAATGAGCCACTGAATCTCACAAGCTGCAGCTGCAAGGGCCCTGTACTCAGCCTCGGATGAACTTCTAGATATGGTGTGTTGTTTCTTTGATTTCCATGATATTAAGGTGGTGTCAAGAAACATACAGAACCCAGTAACAGACCTTCTAGTGTCTGGACAAGCAGCCCAATCAGAGTCAGTGAACCCCTTAATCTGTAGAGATGAAGATGCTGAGAAGAACAACCCTTGGCCTGGGGTTGTTTTGGTGTATCTCAAAACCCTATGTGCTGCCTGCATGTGTACATCAGTAGGACAATCTAGGAATTGAGATAATTGTTGTGTAGCATAGCTTACATATGGTTTTGTAATTGTAAGATATAACAGTTTTCCCACAAGCCTTCTATATTGAGTAATGTCATCAATTTTGTTCCCAATGGCTTTACTGAGCTTTGTTGCTGTTGCCATAGGTGTTTTGGCTGGTTTGCAATCCAGAAAACCAGTCTCTTCAAGCAACTCTAATGTATACTTCCTTTGGGAGACAGATATGCCTTCAGTGTTCCTTGCTATTTCTATCCCCAAAAAAAATTTAAGTGCACCTAAATCTTTAATGTGAAAGACATCATCCAAGTGGCTTTTGATCTGGTTCACCTGGTTTAAGTTTGGACTTGCAATCACCACATCATCAACATATACAAGTAAAGCCACAAAATCATCTCCTTTGTCTTTTGTGAACAAAGAGGAATTTGACACAACTTGTTTGAAACCCATGCTTAAAAACTCTTGGGTAAGCTTTAGATTCCACTGTCTACTAGCTTGTTTCAATCCATAGAGGGATTTAATTAGTTTGCATACCTGGCCAGGTTTGGGAGATATAAAACCAGGGGGCATTGTCATATACACTTCTTCATTTAACTCCCCATGGAGGAAGGCATTATTCACATCTAGTTGATGAAGATTTCATCCTTTGATTGCAGCCACCCCAAGCAAAACTCTTATTGTAGTTATCTTTGCCACAGGGCTAAATATATCTAGATAGTCTAATCCAGGTGTTTGAGTGTAGCCTTTAGCCACTAACCTAGCCTTGTATCTTTCAATGGTCCCATCAGCTTTAAGTTTGGTCTTGAAAACCCATTTGCAGCCTATGGGGACTTTAGAAGGTGGGAGATCAGTGAGAATCCATGTATTGTTTGCCTGTAGGGCAGCAATTTCTGCTTCCATAGCTTTCTTCCAGCATTCTTTCTTAATGGCTTCATTGTAAGTTTTTGGTTCTTTGGCATCCAAAGCATTGACAGCAAAAACCTTGTATGCTTGTTATAGTTTTTCATAGGACATAAATTTGGAGATGTCATGTGGGGAAGATCTCCTGGTAGCATTCTGACATGCATAATCAGTAAGATAGGAAGGTGTGGTTCTTACTCTTGTTGATCTCCTTGGTTCTGGAACAGATATTGAATCTGCATTAATAGGTTCACTGTCTTGGGCTGGAACTGCTGGTGGAACCTCAGGAAAATCATTCAAGCTAGGTGGAATCTCAACAGCAGTAGGCAAAGTGGTGCCTTAATCAGAGTGGGGATATGACACATCTTCAGAGGGTAGAATCAGGCTAAATGGCTGCTGAACCTGAGAACTTTGGAAAGGAAAGATGTTTTCATAGAATGAGACATCTCTAGACAAAAACAAAACAAAAAACAAAAAAAAAAAAAAAAACAAAAAAAAAAAAAAAAAAAACTTCTTTAGTCTGAGTGTCCATTAGCTTGTAACCTTTCACACCACTAGCAAATCCCAGGAAAATACTTCTCCTAGCCCTTGGAGAGAACTTGTCCCTTTGACAGTTAGGAATAGCAGCAAATGCCAGGCATCCAAACACTCTAAGGTGTTGATATTGTGGAATCTTTTTAAACATTATCTGGTATGGGATTTGATTACATAAGGCTGCAGAAGGGAGCCTATTTACCAAATATACTGCAGGAATGATACAATCACCCCAGAACTCCTCAGGAAGACTAGCTTGAAACCTCAAAGCTCTTGCCACAGATAGGATGTGGCCATGTTTTCTTTCCACAATACTGTTCTGCTGAGGGGTATAGACACATGATGTTTGGTGAACAATTCCCTTCTTTTGATAGAATTCTTCCATCATGAACTCTTTCCCATTATCAGATCTCACACACTTGATGTTCTCCCCAAACTGAGTATTAACAAGCTCACAGAAACACTGCATAATCTGCTTTACTTCACTCTTCTTCTTCATGAGATAAACCCAAGTGATTCTGCTATGGTCATCTACCAAGGTTAGGAAATATTGATGACCATAGATAGTTGGAACATGATATGGTCCCCATATGTCAACATGAATCATATCAAAATAGTTATTTGAAATTGAAGAACTAGGCTGGAAAGGTAACCTTCTTTGCTTAGCCAAATGGCAACTTTCACAAACTGTAGGTTTATCATTACAGACTTTATTATCTAGAGTATGTAGGACACTTATTTTTCCTTCAGAAGCATGTCCTAGTCTAGCATGCCAGAAGTTACAAGCATTTACTATAGGAACAATAGCAGGTTTACATTGAGTGAGAACAGGAAAAACAAGGTGATAGAGGCCCTTCTCCAGCTTAGCCATACCAATCATCTTCCCATGTTGATCCTGTATAACACACTGATTAGTATGGAAGAGTGTGCCACAATTAGACCCCTTTCATAAGGTCTCCCAAGGAGATCAGATTATAATGGAAGATGGGGACACACAACACATTCTGCAAAACCAAATCAGTAGATAGATAGACAGTCCCAATGTGTGAGACCTCTGCCTGATGTCCATTTGGTAGATCTACATAGATCCCTTGTACTTTCTTGGATGTGTGAAGTAAATGGATGCTACAAATAATGTGGTGTGTAGCACCACTATCAATTATCCAAACTGATTCAGGCTTAGCTAAATTGGTGTGAGTATTAGCTATTTTACCTTCATGTTGAGCATTGGGGATGAAGTTGGCTGCTATAGTATTGGCATGTGGGGTGGGATCAAGGGGAGTATTAGCCTTGACTCTCTCTTGTTGTTGCATGAACTCCAAAAATTTTCTTCAATCCTCTTGAGTGAAGGATGAATTAGTCCTTGGATTTTCAGTGTCTTGCACAGAACTCTGGACTTGGGTAGAAGACCCCCACCCTTTGTTTCTTGGCTTCCAACCTGGTGGATAGCCATGCTTCTTGTAGCACTTCTCCACAGTGTGCCCTGTATAACCACAATAACTACATACAGGTTTCTGCTTCGGATTAGAGAAGGTTCTCTTACTGCCATCATCTGCTTTTGTAAAGAAAACATTTTCCCCTGTAATGCCATCTCCCAGAGCACTAGATTCAATATGTATTTGCCTCTCTTGTTGTGAAATCATGGAAAAAGCTTCACCAACATCTGGGAGGGGTTTCATCAGCATGATCTGATGCTTGGTGTTAATGTAACTATCATTCAAACCAGTTAGGAATGCAGAAAACATATCATTCTCTAAATGTGCCTTCACTTTTTCAGATAATTTGTTCCCACATTCACAACCAGTAGGGCATTCACATCCAGGAATAGTTCTAAGAACAAGAAGTTCATCCCACAGTAACTTCAATTGTGTAAAATAATCATTTATGGTAGAGTTACCTTGCTTCGTTTGATAAATTTGTGACTGGATTTCAGCAATTCTGAATATATCTTGCTGGCTGAAGCACTTTTTCAGGTCTTTCCACACTCCTTCAGCAGTATTGATCCAAAGAACACTTCGAGCTATAGTGGAAGAGACAGCCATAAGTATCCATGACAAGACCATCGTGTTGCAGCGCTCCCAATAATAATATCTTGGATCAAGCTTGCTCGGAACAGCCACATGTCCTCTTACAAAGCTCATCTTGTTCTTGGACATCAAAGCCATCTTCATAGCTCTGGCCCAAGAATGGTAATTAGACCTTCCTTCCAGCTGCACTGTAACAAGCTGTAGGGTTGGGCTTTCGTTCGGATGAATGTGAAGAGGATTCGTCAGGTCGTTCGGGTCGAAACTCCCAATCGGAGTCGGAGCTGGATTTAGAATAGGGTTTGGGCGGTTCTGATTCGCACCAAATGAACCAGCTTGGTTCTGGTTTCCTTCTGCTTGATTTGAACCTGCTTGCATAACCACATTCGCAATTGGTGGTCTCCAAGCCATTACTGCTCTGATACCATGTCGAGAAGGGAGAAGCAGTTCAAGAAAATGGAGGAAGGAAACTGGAGAAAATTGATTGATGTGTGCAGAACTCAAACTTTCATCTATATCTCTCTGTACAATCTGAATTCTATGTTATCAAAACTAAGAAGCGGGAAAGGGAAAGGTTTTAAACTATTACAACTGAAGCTAACTGCTAACTGAATTAACAGAGTTGGTTATGGAGGTTGAGTGATGTGGACAGATTCAGCTTGTTGACTTGAGGGTTGACTCTTATCTCTTGACACCATTTCCTGTCTTCCCAAGCTACAAGTCCTGCAAGTTTACAACAATACTCCCTCTGGCCAATTCCCGGCCAACCTGGCTAACTCCACCACCTTGAGAATCTTGTCCCTTTACGCCAATTCCCTATCCGGGGAAATCCCAGAAAACTTTGCGATGTCATATTCTCTGGTTGTTTTAGACTTGTCGGAAAATCAATTCTCTAGAAAGCTACCACCAAAGTTGTGTAACGGAGGTAAGTTGACGTGCATCCTTCTACTCTAGAATATGTTTTCAGGGGAATTGCCAGCAAGTTATGGGAATTGCCAGAGTGTTGTGCAGTTTAGAGTGAACTATAATCTTTTAGAGGGTAAGATCCCAGAACCCATATTTGGTGTCCCCACGCTTCAATAATTGACGTGCGTAATAACAGGTTCAACGGCTCAATCCCCATAACTTCTCTATGAAGAAAAAAGCAAAGAAAGAGACGATCGGCTGCGCGCAACAGATGAATGGACTAAAATACCCTCCAACTTAACGCCTAATTGATGAAAAAAGTAACGGAGGACCAAATTGGGGTAATTTTTAAAAGTCAAGGGACCACATTGGGTGCAATTAAAAGTCGGAATGCAAAATTGAGAATGAGCCATAGTCAAGGGACCAAAATGGGAAAAAACTCTAAGAATATTAACGTAAGAATTATAACATAGAATAAATCGTAATAATTAATAACTATAGTCTAGGATTAAATTTGGAATTGTCAGGAAAGATAAGCGACCTCGGGTGAAATTAACTCTTAAATAATTATATATCGATTTAAATATTCTTAATATATTACAACAATTTCATTTCGTGCATCGCACGGGTGAAAATACTAGTTGAAAGGAAAAAGATAAGAAAGTGATTTTTTTGCCCTTGATTATTATTACACAATGATATTTTAATCTTTATATTACTTTTTTCCTTCTTATTCCCAATAATTCTATTCATCCCTGCCGAACAATGTAATTTGAATGGCTACTTTACTCTCACCTTATTCTTTTTCCAGCAAATTACAATTATTTTTCCCCTTAATTCTCCCCCAACAAAATGTAATGTAAAAATTTACTTAAAACTAAAAGGGTGTAATAATTACAATAAATTGTGTTATTCAAACTCAAAAAAAAAAAAAAATCTCTCCTTTCTAAATCTTGAACATACTTGTTGAGGTGCATGGCATGGGGCTCGTGAGAGGAGAAATTGGGCAGAAGGCGGGCGCTGTCTGTCATGAAGAAGAAAAGGCCAAAATTCCCTGCCAGACCAAACTAACATAAAGTACGGACCGGACCACAAAGCTAAGGTAAGGAAATCGAAACGCATACCTATAAATAGGCTTTGTGGTCAGTTTCTTTGATCCTCTTCTCCTTCCACATACCCACCATTTCAGGCGTTTTCTTCCCTTCCTTCATGTGAAGATCAGATCAGTTCAAACACCCGCATCTCTTGTAAGAAACAAAATCTTAATTCATTTCAGTGTTTTTGGTGTGTACCTAGCTGCTCTCACATATGCTAGCTAGCTAATTCTCTGTGCAATAATCTTGGATTTCCATAAATCTTTGATCTCAAGTTCTGGGTTGTTTTAGATCTCTGGCAAATCTTTGATCCATGGTGGGTTTCTTAGAGCAGTTGAAGAAATGGGCACTGATCTTCTGTGCGATTCTTCAATTGGTCCAAGGATTTTATCTCCCGGGAAGTTTCCCTCACAGGTATGATATAGGCGACCAGTTATCTGTGAAGGTGAATTCTTTAACATCAATCGAGACAGAAATTCCATACGGCTATTATAGTCTGCCATTCTGTAAGCCATTAGAGGGCGTGAAGGACAGTGCTGAAAACCTTGGGGAGCTCCTAATGGGAGACAGGATTGAGACTTCTCCTTACAGATTCAAAATGCGTGTGAACGAGAGCCAGATCTTTCTGTGCCAAACCAAAGCGTTATCAGCTAATGAATTCAAGATTCTCAAGGAGAGGATTGATGAGATGTACCAGGTGAATCTGATTCTTGACAATTTGCCAGCCATTAGGTATATGACCAAAGATGGGTTCCTTCTTAGATGGACGGGGTACCCGGTTGGAGTTAAGGTCCAAAACTCGTATTATGTGTTCAATCATCTGAAATTCACTGTTTTGGTTCACAAGTATGAGAGGACCAGTGTGCCTGGTGTGATTGGGGCTGTGGATGGGGCAGAACTCATAGCAACAGATGATAAAGCTAGCAAAGAAGTTGGAGGGTATATGGTGGTGGGATTTGAAGTAGTGCCCTGCAGTTTTCTGCATAATCCGAAATCGCTTGGGAATCGAACCATGTATGCTGTGTATCCTACTCCGATTAAGTGTGATCCGGCTATGGTGGCCATGGTGATCAAGGAGGGGCAGCCGTTGGCTTTCTCGTACGAGGTGACGTTCGTGGAGAGTGACATTACTTGGCCGTCGAGGTGGGATGCGTATTTGAAGATGGAAGGGGCTAAAGTCCATTGGTTCTCTATCCTCAATTCCTTGATGGTGATTACATTCCTAGCAGGGATAGTTTTGATTATTCTGTTGAGGACGATCCGGAGAGATTTGGCTCGGTATGAGGAGCTGGATAAGGAGGCTCAGGCTCAGATGAATGAGGAGCTATCGGGGTGGAAACTGGTGGTTGGGGATGTGTTCAGGGCTCCCGAGAGCGTGGAGCTTCTGTGTGTTGTGGTGGGGGATGGGTGCCAGATTCTGGGAATGGCGGTTGCCACCATTTTCTTTGCAGCTCTTGGGTTCATGTCCCCGGCTTCTCGGGGCAGCTTGATCACCGGGATGCTCTCGTTCTACCTCTTGTTGGGGATTGTGGCAGGCTATGTTGGGGTGTGGCTGTTGAAGACCATCAACTGTGGCGATCCCACCGGGTGGTTCTCGATTTCGTGGAGAGTGGCTTGTTTCTTCCCTGGAATTGCCTTTTCGATCCTCACAATCCTCAACTTGCTCCTCTGGGGAAGCCAAAGCACGGGGGCAATCCCGCTCTTCACTTACATTATTCTACTTCTCTTGTGGTTCTGCATCTCGGTCCCATTGACTCTAATGGGTGGATTGATTGGAACCCGGGTTCCCCACTTGGAATTTCCCATCAAAACCAACCAAATCCCTCGGGAAATCCCCGCCCAGAGATTCCCAACATGGTTTCTAGTCATAGGAGCAGGGACGCTCCCCTTCGGGACTCTCTTCATCGAGCTCTTCTTCATCATGTCCAGCATATGGCTAGGCCATGTCTACTATGTCTTCGGGTTCCTCTTCATTGTCCTCATCCTCCTCGTGCTCGTGTGCGCTGAGGTTTCGCTCGTCCTCACTTACATGCAACTATGCGTGGAGGACTGGAGGTGGTGGTGGAAGTCATTCTTTGCGTCGGGCTCAGTGGCCCTCTACATCTTCCTCTACTCCATAAACTACCTAGTTTTCGACCTCAAGAGCCTCAGTGGACCTGTCTCGGCGATTCTCTACTTGGGCTACTCGTTGTTGATGGCGTTGGCTATCATGCTCGCCACGGGAGCCATCGGCTTCCTCACCTCCTTCATGTTCGTGCATCGCCTTTTCTCATCTGTCAAGATTGATTGATTGATTCATTCATTCATACCTTTCAGCTCTTTCTTTAAGTTCTATCTATTTATCTTAGTTTGGTTTGCAGTGCAATAATGGACAGTATGTTGTTTAGAGTTGCTCTGTCTGTCTGTTGAATATTGATTGAGATAGATGAACATTATATTGCTGCTTGGTGGACTAGGAAGGATTACATTATACTATTATGTATGACACACATCAAATGCATATATAAATCTGTTCAATGCCTGCCAACGTGTACGTTTTCTTCTTTTGTTTTTTCTCTTTCCTTATATATATATTTTTGTTATCTTTTACTATTTCCATTTAATCATTCTACAAGGACTCTATTTTTTACTCCAAATATATATTCGGTTATGTGTCTTCACGAGAAAACAAGAAAACAAAAAATCAAAGGGAGCTAGTGGGACCATGAACATTATAACATCAAATTGTTTGGCTCAAATTGTGTCACCTCATTGAGTGTATAATAAGTCGGGGAGTGAAATCTTCCGCACCGCACCTTGCAGCATTTTTCATTCTCATTTGAACTCTTATATATATATATATATATATATATATATATATATATATATATATATATATATATATATATATATATATATATATAGTGAAAGGTTCCAGTGCGGTTGGGTGCTTCTCGTGCAATTGTGCGGTTGATTAATGTGCGTGAGCTTTGTACTTAATGTGCGTGAGTCTTGTGCTTAATATGCGTGAGTGTGTAATGTTAATGTGCCTGAGTCTTGTGTTTAATGTGCCTGAGCTTTGTACTTAATGTGCGTGAGTGTGTAATGTTAATGTACTCCTGTTGCTCCTGTACATATACATCTTCGTCTTCTCTTCCTTTCTTTTCCCTTAATCCTCTCTTCCTCTCTCTCTATTCTTCTTCATATACGTCTTCATCTTCTCTTCCTATTCCCTTAATCCTCTCTTCTCCTCTCTCTCTGTTCTTCATCATATACGTCTTCGTCTTCTCTTCCTATTCCTTAATACTCTCTTCCCCTCTCTCTGTTCTTCATCATATATATACGTCTTCATCTTCGTCTGACTTTTGTGTTTAATGTGTGTGAGTTTGTGGTCTGAATGTATTTTGTTTATAGCTTCCTGTGCGATTGTGT